CCTCTGTGCTGCCCACGTACAGTCTGGCACAGGAGAGTCTTTCAAATGTTGGGGTGCACCAGAGGGCAAACCTATTTATTTCACTTTATGAAACATTCTTTTGCATATTAACTCATTTGTACAATATAGCCAATTAATGCCATTAAGTAAAAATTTTTCATCATTAGTTAACCTGACAATGTCCAATTTATTATTTTAGTGAAAATTCGAAAATTTAATAAAGCCAGACCACAGCCTGACGTACTTGAAGAAGAAAAAACCTACGCTTACCCCAGCACTACTACCTCGGAGACTGGATTCAGGTAAGCTTTGGGCAGGGGAGTAAAAGGTTAGGGAAAGTGTAAATTGAAAGGCAGCTTCTAGAAAAGTCGACTCCGTTCAGAATAACCCTGCCCACCTCCTTCAAGCTAGCCTGAAACCCTTCATACAACTTTTGAGTAGCCCTAGCTCAGGAAAAAAAGGACAGGGGATCCCCAATGCTTAATATATAGTAAATGATAACTGTTCCTGTTACATGAACACCTGAAGGCCACAGTTTAGGTGACTTGAGTGAGTGTGACAGTCAGAGCTGGCATTCAGGCAGTCTTAGGTGACTAAGGTCACACAGCCTGTGAGTGACAGTCAGAGCTGGCATTCAGGCAGTCTGCTTCCCTAGTCCAGGCCTGTGACCATGTGGTTTGTAAGCACAAGTATGCTTTATTCACATGAGGCCATTCTTCACTTTGAATAGTAAACTTACTGTTCCTTGAAATGTTTCTATTTCAGCACATATAGAATCTGTAAGTATCAATAAAACACATTTATATTTCTTGAATTTTTAGTCACAGCATTCAAAATAGACTGTTGTCATGATCAACACCATTATTCCCAGTATGAATATCTTTTTTTTTTTTTAAAGATTTATTTATTTATGCATACAGAACTAGGGTACAGGCCAGAGGTGCAGGGGGCGGTGAGAAGATTCACCAGAGACAGAGTGGGGAGCAGAATAGTCCACTGACAGAGTCCACTGCTGAGGGGAGCAGCAGGCAGGCCAGGAGAGGTCTGCTGTATCATGTGGGTCAGCTTCCTGGCCAGAGGTGCTGTTGCAGCTTTACTCCTGCTTAGCTGAGACAGGGGACTCTGGGGAGGCAAGAGAAAGGGAAGGTCAGTTAGGAAGTTAGGGATGCAGATTTAAGTGCTCTCTCCTGGAAAGGAGTGATAAAGAGAATAAGGTTTCCAGAGAGAGACACTATCAGAGAAGCTTGACTGTGACTATTGAAAACAGCCTCCACCAGCCTGCAGGCCCCTAAAGTGAAATGAACCTCTGACCAAAAAGACTTTTTGGGGTGGCAGATTTTTGCTCCCCTACAGTGTTAAAATTTCTGTTGTCTTTTAAAAGACTCTCTTTCTCTATTTGAGTCCAGAAAAAATCTTTAAATATTTTTGACGCCAAATCAGGAATTAGTCTTCCCCCCACCCCAAAGAAAAACAACTCTACAAAATTTCATTTTTATTTCTCCTCTGTGATCTGTTAGCAGAGTTTCTTAAAGGGCAAGCTGCAAGTTCATTCACTGAGTGAAGCGCTCAGTGAAGCAGAAGTGCCATGCTAAGCATTTTACGCAGATGGCGAATCTTGGACTCATCTTGAAGAGGGGGAGGTCGGGACTTCTACCTGACTCCGGGACCCAAGGGCTTGGTTTGTAAATTCAGTGGGTGATGTACATTTTTTGGCCAGAAGGTGTCATTATAACCTCTCTTCTCTTAAACATAAAAGCAGAAACCTCTTTTTAATTCCTGAAAGACATGGGCATCATGACCACAGTAACATTCATTTTCTCAAGTCTAGAAGAATCAGTAGTATTTTTGAGGCCCACCAAGAGATTGTCTGTCCTTTCCCTCCCCTCTGACTTACAAATTCTTGAACTGGATCTTAGTTTAATCATGAATGGGATCACTTAAGGACTCAGAAAATCAAAGCGATGGAGCAGGTAAATACCTTGTTTTCAATTTGTGTTTTTTTTTTTCTTAGTTGAAGAAAAAGAAGGTAACTATGAGACTAGAAAACGTTTTTTTTACAGCATGTAATAGTATCGTTTGAGACTGATTAGCTTTATGCTGACATTTTTGTAATTCTCATTTTAATTTTTAAGAAAGTGCAGATTCCTATATATTTACATTAGGGGGAGACACCATTAAATCTTAGGGGAGTGTGTGCATGTGTGTGTGTGTGTGTTTAATATCCTCAAAAGAGAAGCTTATTTTGGTTTTTATGCTGTAACTTCATGATGAAATAGATGGTTCTGGTGAGGGCCCCTGTGGGGCCAAGGGAACTCTGGCTCACCCTGCATCTGTTTCCTTCTCAGGCAACACGGCTCTTCTCCTCATACTATGCATTCAGCATTCTCTTCCCGAGGCCAGCAGGTTATACCTGGACCTCATACTGGCCATCCTGACCCTGGAACTGATATGTTCCCTGACATGTCTGCTCATATACACAGGTGAGAACTATAACTGTGCTGTTCCTGTCAAGATCTGGAAGGTTCCTCTGTGGGTTTTTGTGACAAGGAATTCTTCATGTAGTTGAGAACCTCTCGGGCACTTCAGTCTCTCCTGTTGAGCATAATCAGACTGTCTCATTTAAGCCAATGGGAAGATACCAGTGAGCCAGAAATTTCACAGATTTGGGTCATGCACGTTTTTTTTTTTTCAATCAACTGACATCTAATTGAATACAAAGACCCACAAACTTTTGCTTCTCCAGAGGCAGTTGGGATTTAAAATTCAATTTAAATACAAGATATGGAAATAAATTATATGCACACAACTACATTTGACTCAAGCGTGCTCTGGGATAAACCATTTAAGAACCTACTTCTTTCTAGAGCTGGAGCTGTCTGGGATTGCTCTGCCTCCCTCCCTCTCTCCTTTTCTTTCTCTCACTTCACCTTTCCCGCCTTCCCTCTCCCCAGTGCCCCACATGGTAAAATTCTGACTCGTCTTGCTAGGTCTCCACTTGCCACAGTTCGTCACCCTCTGTGCAGTTCGCCCTGCCCTAGCGCAGGGACTCTGCCTTCACGCCCTGCCTGCCACACAGGTGCGCAGCTTTGCCAGTCGTTGTCATTGCTGCGTGTTCTCCTTGCTGGAGGCTCAGGCCCCTGCTCCAAGGAGATCTCGCCACTTAAGCCTGACTCCGCTAGCCACCTGTAAGTCAAGGCGGTCTGGCTCCTTCTCCACTTGCACCACCTCCTGCCTCCTGGCCCTTCCACTCTGCCGGTCACTGGCCTCTTCTGTTTCTCCT